TTGCTGTAAATGTCCTACAAGTAACAAAGATGGTGTCAGTGTATTCAGCACCTCTGACTTTGTGGATGCTATGACAGCTGCCTCCTGAGTGGGTCCTCTTCAAACAAACAAGAAAAAACAAACACACACTCAACCCAACTCATCACGAAGACAGCACAACCCCTGTCCTCTCAGAAAAAGTGATACTGGTAAGACTTTCACTCAGGACTGTCAACCACTGGCAGTAACCCAGGGATCAAAGAAGCAATTGGAGGGTGGGTCATGCCAATGGAGAGTGGTGATTTCTGCACACAACCAATTGATTTTTTTGATCTGCAAAATTTTATTAAGCAATAGCTGGACAACTCTTACAACTTCAAATCATCAAGAAAAAAAAATAAGGAGATTAATCCATCTCAATAATAAAGACAGAAAATAACTTGGACAAACCACACCATTTGAGTGCAAACCATGAATGCCTTCTAGAACACCTCCCTCACAATCTAATATACAAAATACATAAGAAGAGAGGCAAATCAGGGCGAGCTCATTAGAATGCAATTGAGAATCTCAACAGGTCTTGCGTGGAAATTAAACCAAAGCAGGATGCTGAACTGAAAACAAACCAACGCCAGAGGAACTGAGGCGCAGGGCAGCGCACCATTCCCAAGGTTTGGACGAGAACATGCTGGTGGTCTGGTTTGGTCTGGGACCTGTGCACCTGCATTGTGCACTCAGTTAAAAAAACAAAACAAAAAACAAACAAAAATTAAAAAAAGGAGAGAGAAAATGCCAGTAGTAATAAACTCAGAAATTATATCCAAATTTACAGTACCAAAATAATGCATTTATAAACAAATGCAAAAACAATACCCCTTTGGTAAATAATACAGTGCCTTTTTCAGTCAAATGCATAACCCATGCTTTTCTACAACACGAAAAAAGTTTTATCTACAATAAACAAGATCTTAGAACCCTACCCCTCCCCTTTAAAAGAATTTGTAAACAGAAAATATAGGTACAAGTAAAGTTACAAGAAAATTGCACAAAGCCAAAGAAATAAAAACAGAACAAGCCACAACCTTTCAGAGTTTTATCAGCTTAAGATAAGAAAATACATAAACAGTGAAGAGTTTTGAGTTGTGTGCTATTACAAAATTCCAGCAACTCAAACAACATTTTTGATACATTTTGTCTCAACTAACTGTTCACAACCATTGACTTGACCAGTGATAGATGGCCCACACAGGGACACAATGGGCTCCTCCAGAAACCTGCACTTGAAGACAGCGTAACATTGCGGAGCCCACTCAAGAATTCAAGATGGTCTAGGCCTATGCGCCTTTGTGTTTTTTCAACCCACTCGAAGGTCTTTAGGGCAAGTGGTGACTTTTTTAGTGCTGTTCTCAAGGGCAGCCACTGAGCTGGGCGTACTCAAGGGGAGGCTCCTCTGCCTTATCTAGAATTGGCTCCTTTGTGTAATTTTATGAAAACAAACAATTCCAGATGCATCTTCTACAGGTGAATCTTCTAAAGAATTTTAAATTGCCCTGGTTTACATTCAGTAGATAGCTCATTAACACAGAAAAGAAACATTTCTCTACAAAAAGGCAATGTTCTGAAACATCCCTTCTGACTGTGTAAAGTGGAGTGACGAAATGGCCACATTTTTGAGCCCTCGGGCTGTGAGAGCTGGACGGGAGTTTAGAAGACTGTCCATCTTTCCTGCTAGACGGACAAATGGAGGCCCAAGGTCACCCTCCAACTTTGTGGCAGCGCAGGCTTGATCCTGGGTCTCCTGACTTGCTGCTCTGCTTGCAGGATGAATGTACATGCCTTCGCAGGTCCTCGTGGGACACTTGACAAGGGAGCAATGGCCATGGATGAAAACCACTAACCTGCACATCCTGATGTCTACTGCTACTTGAGCTTTGACATTTCCTGCTTCCTTTGCATCAATTTTTTCAGAATATACATTCAGTGGATGGACTGTATACAAATCTGTGCCTTTGGTTTGATGAGGTTAGAGTTAAGACAAATTAAACAATTATTTTTTATGTTTGTTAATACACTGCTTCCCTCAAAAAGGCATGGGCTTTTTATGTAGTTGACTGTTTATTGGGCTAATGTTTTTATATATAGGGATTCAATGAGGTATCTTCATAGTCATAAGTTGCTACCAATAAACAAAGTATGTTGAATTCTGCTGCTTAAAGCACTGATGTTAGCAGTACTTAACGAACTGAGACTGACCGGTCGGGAACAATCTGTGAAATAGGCAGAGGCATCACCATGAACTGAAAGGGCAGGCGCTGCTGCAGACCCTGGCTGGGCACGTCTGGCGTCTGAGGCACCTGCCCCTTCGGGGAGGGCAAGCAGCAAGGCGGCGCCGCTCACTCAGGCTCACAAGTGAGCAAAGCATCCAAGGTGGGGGTCTCTGTCTCCACGTGGGGAACACGTCTTTTGGGGAGTGGGCTAAGAATTTAGTACATTTAGTTAATTATTTGCTACAAATACATTCTCTTCACACATGTATTTGTAGAATTCCAAGGATTTCCCCACTATATTTGCTCTTATTAAGAGAAATTTTTAAAGGTACTTTCCTTTTCATGGTCTTTATATCTCAAAAACCAATCAGAACTTTAAAAACTAAAACTTATTACCAATAATTCCTTCCTTTGTTACTCTCATTCTAATAAGTCTCTTCTCATTTCCATCACCTTTTATTTTTAATTAAAAATAAAATTTTCAAAGGAAGGGGAAATATTTTAGGATATGCTACCTCAAAGAACTCTTCTTTGCATATAATCAATACCACAAAAAGCAAAAAACAAAAACAACAAAAAAAAAACCAAAAAACTTTTAAAGAATATAATTTTTTTCTCAGTTAGAAAAAGTTACAAACTGTCCAGCAAAAACAAAACAAAAAACCCTATCACATCCTCTTTATTTCTTGCAGCAAAATATATTGCTACCAAGTCAAGTTGTTACAAATACTATTTTTCTAAATAAATTATAACATGGGCATAACTCATGAGTACATAGTAATAAGGTAATTCCTTAGAACACTATTAAAGCAAGATAAATAATGATCTCTTGGACAATAAAACAGAGGACTGCATTTAAATTATTTTAGACATAGGCTATAACCATATTGCACAACTAATAATAACCATTGAAACATCATATCAAACTACAAAAACACATAAAAGAATTATATAAATCTGAATACATTGCTAAATTCTTTTTTGGAAGAATTTACCCACCAAAGAATCGGGTTCAATAATTTAAAATTTACGATAGGAAACTGGTATTAGCTGGGAGATGTCCTTCACCATATTTAAAAACCTTATCTGTGTTTCTTTGGGGGATGGAGAGATGGTGGGTGATGGATGTCATCATCTTGCTCTGGGAAAGGAATGGGACTATTTCTTTTCTAATTTTTAAACCAAAACGAGGATTTAAAAAAAATTTGAAAATAATTTTCTGTAATATTTTCCAATTTTCTGTTTTCAAACAAAATCCAAACATAGGGTAGGTTTTGTGCTCCCACTCTAAACAACATCACAGACATAAACAAGTGAGAACAATGAACTGGGTCTTGTCACCAGGGCTGAATGCTGCCCACGGTGTCCCCTGAGGACAGGCGAGGTGGGAAAGGATCATCTCCGTGGAGTTTTTTGCAGTTAACCAGCAGTAGTCTGCCAACTCCCTTAACGACGACGATTTGAACCGTGCTATCCCCAGGTTCATCTCCTCTGGAAACAGTCCGGGCAGTTAACACCTACCTTCTCTCCTACGGACGACCGTGGGACTTCTGTGGGAGAGTTGACTATAACTCTCTCTTCTCTCTCAACACCCTGCCAAACGCTTAACAGTTTTGCTTATGTTTCTAATCTGCTGAAAAACATTTCTAGTCAACCAGACTTTAACGTAGCCGAGAAGAGGAGAGGAGTACTTTTAAGTCAGCATCGGCAGCGTTTTCAGAGAAAGGAAGTGCAGCCCTGGCCAGTTTGGCTCAGTGGTTAGAGTGTCGGCCTGCAGGCCAGAGAGACCCGGGTTCGGTTCCCACTAAGGGCAGGTGCCTCAGTTGCAGCTTGTCCCCGGCCCTGGTTGGTCATGCGGGTGGCAGCCACTCGATGTGTCCCTTTCATGTCGATGTTTCTCTCTCTCTTCCTCTCTCTCCCTCCCACTCTGTCTGAACAAAAAAATGGAAAAATGTCCTCGGGTGAGGATAAAAAAGAAAAAGGAAGTGCAGAGCAGTGTTGTCTGATAGGAAGGACAACATCTAGCATCACATTTCCAGATTCAACAACAAAAGGGGAGAGGGAATAAACGTTACTTTTCAGCAAGCAGGTACCCAGTGACTCACTTTGGCTCTAGCTGAGGAAACTGCTGTCCCCACCACACGCTGGGACCTTTCTACGTTTCTCTCCTACCTTCTCAAGTCAGTCATACTGAACCTATGGAATTTTGACATATTATAAAACTAGTGGAGTCTTCAATGTAAACATCCTCCAGAGAGGAGCATAGCCCTTTTACTACTTCAAGTCGCACTACGTAAATCGCCCACGTGTGCAAGTGCAGGAGTTCCTTACTTGCCTCTCCTCTCTTCCCCCACATCCTCAGGAGCATATCATACTCATACCTGGTAACAGCACCTCCATAAAAAGCCTACTCTTATTAGTCAAACAGTGCATTTGCCAAAATACCCTTCATTAATCAAGTCACCTTTGGGGGAGTAACATAATATGTGTGAATTAAATGTCCCCTCAAGAGAACCTGTACCTTCAGGATTTTTGGTTGTGTTTTTTAAAAAAAGGTTTTTGATTTTACACCAGTGATGCTGTGGAGAATGAAAACAATTTATATACTCTTTATGCCTAAAAGAATAGTAGGCTGTAAGGCGGTCTATTTTCCTTCTGAAGGACCCCTTGTCCATAGCTGACATAAGCAAACCCAGTGGAACATTACCAGAAGCAATTACATTCCCCCCCCCGCCCAAAAAACACCACATGCCTGCCACCTTTGCTTCCAAATACCTCTCTCCTATATTCTGTTTTGTTTGATTAAAAAGAAAAAAGAAAGATAATAAAAAATAATAAAAGCCCAAACAAACAACACTAAAGGTCAGTGCCCTCTCCTGGGCCTGACAGACTTTTCCAGTTTGCTCGTCTTCTGGTCCCCAGGCACCCAAGGCCCTATGTGGGCTCCTCTAGCATCTGTGATCAGATCTCTCTGAAAAGGCTCCTTTGTCTCTTTCTGCTCTCCAAGCCAGTCTCTTCATTTGAGGCGCTGAGTCACATTGGCCAGGGCGACTGCAAAGGCCTGCACAGCTGAGAAGGGGTACTGGAAGTCCAGAATGTATGCATTGCCGTCAATCCTTCCAAACTGCATCACCTGGGAAGTGGGCATTGAAGCAAAGACATTAAAAGAAAACGAGGTGAGGCAGGGCAACCAGGTCTGTGTGACTCCTGATGGAGGCAGACAGCACAGTCTATGAGATATATCTGCCAACAAAAGTGACTCTGGTAGGCTTCTACATCTAGCTACCAGTTTGTCAGAAACAAAGGAATGGAGGAACATGTTAAACAACACAGTGGGGAGCTGGGGAGCAAAATTCAGGGCATGAAAAACTCCACAGGTCAAATGAAGTGGTTTCCTCACCAAGGAAATAAGACAGGAGAAAGTAGAACCCATAAGCTGAAAGAGGCTTAAGAGAAATAAATATCAATTGTAATAGTCAAAGTCACTGTTCAGAGAGTGACAGGACACAGCACACCTCCTTCCTATCGTGCTCACCTCCCGAGCCTGCTTTCCTTTGTCCTTTCAGTACTTAGTGACCATTACATAATTGTGACATTATATTATATATATTTTTTTATGGTCTTCCATTTTTGAAAACTCCATGAGGACAGAGGCTTTCTGTTTTCCTCACTGTTCTAATTTCTGTACTTATAGCAGTTAGAACTGTATTTATAAAAAGAGAAAGCAGTTCAGATTGGCCCATGGAACATAGTTTGCCAACTTCTTGCTCAGAAGCTTGTCAAGACATATAGCAGGTGCCCAATATATATTTGTTGGGTGAATTAATGAAAATGGGATTTCAATATGAGAGGTGAAGGGGACGCTCAGGACGGCAGAGAAGGGTCGTCCCAGAACAACAGCTATGCAGCAGGTTAGAGCGAGCAATCGGAGCAGGAAGAACTGACAAATTACTTCCTGCCACAGAACTGGGAAATGACTTAACAATAAATACAGAGAGAAATAAGCAAACAAACACAACTGGGTAATTATTATGTCTAGGGAGAAAAAAAACCCTATACAATAAGAAAGGGAATGTAATTAAACCCCACTATGTGGCTCAGCTGTTAAACATATTTGCTGGCATAACAAAGTAATAGGTGACTACTGATTTAACTAAGAAAAGCGGGTGGGGGGTTCACACTCATGAACCCCAATTTACCCCATCTAAGAGGATCAGTTGTTTTCCACATTTCCAAGGTGGCTTTTGGAAAATGCTCCTCAAAGGCCAAAGCACTAAGACCCTTTACTGGGTTTTAAAAAGCCACAGAGGCCCTGGCCGGTTTTGCTCAGCGGTTAGAGCATCAGCCTGCGGTCCCGAGAGACCCAGGTTCGGTTCCCGCTAAGGGCATGTACCTTGGTTGCAGTTTGTCCCCGGCCCTGGTCGGTTGTGCGGGTGGCAGCCACTCGATGTTTCCCTTTCACATCGATGTTTCTCTCTCTCTCTCTCTCTCTCTCCCTCTCTCCCTCCCTCCCACTGTACCTGAACAAAAAATGTCCTCGGGTGAGGATAAAAAAAAAAAAAGCCACAGAGACCAGAAAGTCTCGATTCTGGTCAGGCCCCGGGACATCCTTACCTGCCGCCCCTCCAGCTCGATCTGGAAATTCTTGGCCGACTCCTGGGTCACGCGCCCCCCGAAGTCCAGCTGGTACACCTGGGTGGCCTCATTCCAGAGAGGCTGCTTGTTGGCCATGACATACACGAAGCCCTGGCTGCCCAGCCGCCCGTCCTCCCTCTCGCTGGCTTTCCGGCACTTGAACTCCTCCAGTTCGCTGGCTGTCCTCAGGCTTCTCTTGCTCTTCCAGCCCTTCTTGCTGCCTTGGCTCTGGTTCATCAGCTCATCCCCGCTGATAAACAGCTCTGGCTCACTCTCTGAGCTGTCCTGGAACTCGTTCGTCTTATTCAACTTCTTCGACTTCATCTGGTCTTTCTGACTCTTCACTTTCTTCTTCTCTCTCCCCAGGCGGGGGCTAGAGATCAGGGAATTAAAGTCACTCAAAGTCCGTGCTTCCTTCTTCACTTTGCCCTCGGTGATGGCCTGAACATTTCCTTCCTCTGCTCGGCTATCCAGGCGCTTCCGATTCTTCTTTCCAAACTTCTCTGTCCGCTGGGAGACTGGGCTTTCTGTCAGAGAAAGGACCTCCTGGAAGTTGTCTGAGGTCTCTACCATCACCTCTGTGCCCAGGTGGCTTTGGAGGTCGGCAGGTGGTGGTGGGGACACGAGAGGCTTCTCCACCACCAAGTGTGCCTTGGGGGGGAGAGTGCCCTGGGGGTTCTGCATGGGCGGGCACGTGCTGTAGGAATTCCAGGGGTGCAAGGCGATGGATGGCAGCTGTAAACTCGAGCATGTGCTGCTTCCGGGATACATGGGGGGCAAGGTGCAGTAGGACAGGCTGGGAGGGTAGGCTGGCTGTAGAACCACAGTGGGCTCCTGCTGTGCAAACTGTGTTGGGGACAAGGTATCTTTTGGGGAGCAGGGAGCCTGCACTCCTGGCAAAGGGGGGTTGTTATAGCTTCCTGGATACGGCACTCCCATCCCATAGCCTGTCTGGAAAGTGGCAGTAGGGCTGGTGGGAGACTTGGGGGAGACAAAGGGCACTCGGGACACGTCAAGGTGCTGGCTCTGACCTACGACCAAAGGGGGCAGTTTCAGGGGGTTGGGCACTCCAGTCTGTGCTGTCCTCTCCTGAGGCACCCAAATGTCCTCCCCCAGCACAGGGTCCCACTGGTAAGGGGGTGGCCGTTTCACAGCCACAGCAGCTTCAGGCAGTGTGGGGTGCCTCAGGGGCTTCTCCACCGGACAGTGCTGGGCCAACGCCTCATCTTCAGTGAAGGCTGAGTTGACGTAGTCCGTGCGCTCTCGGGCGCCATCAGGCGGGCTCAGGAGACTGTAGGAGGACTGTGATGCCAGCGGGGAGGTGGCGGCCGCCTGTGCACCACCAGTGCCTGGCTCGGGCCGCCCAGCTGCACCCCCACCACTGCACTGACTGCAGGTGTAGAGGGCTGCCGGGGGTCGCGCAGGGAACTGAGCTGCGCCCTTGGGCTTGGCTGGGTGCTGCAAAGGCTGGTGCTGGGGCGGGGGCCGCGGGGGCTCAGCAGGTGCTGCAGCCTTGAGCACCGCCTCGCGGTTATTCCTGCGCAGCGTGGCATGGATGAGGCCGCCGTCCAGCCGCTGCGCCGCAACCCGGCAGGAGGCCAGCGGGCCGGCCAGGTCGGGATAGGGGGGCGGGTCTCCGGTAGGAATGGAGTAGCGCGGAACCGTCAGGCGGTTCAAGGTCGCACTGGTGCAGGGCTGGGACACCTTCTTCTCGGTGGCAGTGAGCCTCAGGGTGGCCGAGCTGCCTGGGCCAGGGAGGGTGTAAGTGTTCTGCGAACAGAGCATCCGCGTCCGAGGCCGGCACACCTCCTCCACGTTACCACTGCTATCGAAGGTGGTGATCCTTTCGTAGCCCAGGGGAGGCTGATAATGCACTGCCGTGGGGTACAGCGAGAAGTCGCCCTTCTTCAAGCACACATCGACAGGGGGCTGCGGGGGCGGGGGCGCGGCAGTGGTGGGGGCAGCGGGGATGGTTCCTGGGTAGGGGGGTGGGGGGTTCAACTTTGCCACCTGGATCTCCTGTGAGGCGCCAAATACCACGGCGTCCCCCTCAACAGCCAGTGGTGGTGCAGGCCGCAGCGCCTTGGCAGGCTTCTGCAGGTGCTCATGCTCACGGTCTCCGTGCTCCACCACCGACAGCTGGGCCGCCCCCTGTGTGGGTGGGGGCAGAGACAGCTGCGGGGGGTTCGGGATGTGACGGCCCATCTCGACGCCCCCGAAGATCACCTGTCCAGGGTTGGAGTAGCGGTTGGAAACCGGGTACTGGGTGGCATTCTCACTTGCATGCTCAGCTGCCCCCGCGACCGTGGTCTGATTGGTCAGGACGTCCAGCTGCACGTTCTGATTGGCCAGCAGGGACTGCACCAGCCCGATGCTCTGTGTAGGGGACATTGCTTGCGCTGAGCTGTGGATGGGTGCGATCGGGATGTTCACGGTACAAGGCGGGTTGTTCTCTGGCACGCCAGATGCTCCTGTCACTGGAAGCGGGAAAAACAAGCTGCTCACAAAATAGTGCCACGGAATTGGGTCTGAGTAAGTAATACCTCTCAACTCATCGGGTCCTTTTGTCTATAAAATGCAATTGCTATAGACAGAGAGATCCTTGCTTGGGGAAAGCTGAACTGTTTACACAAGGTACACAAAGCTGCTCTGGTGTTCCTGGAAGGGCACCTGGGCAGCTGGTGGTGGGTCGTGCAGGGCAGCCTGGCCCCATCCCTTATAAAGGCATTGTCAGGGCTTTTCAATGAATACACTTTTGAACCTTCTCTATTTGGTACCATTTGATGAATGGTACCATGCAAATACTTAATTGTTTAAAGACACTTTTTACTTATGATATTCCAAGGTTTATCCACAGTCATAAACTGTCAATGTGGGATGCTTGCAGCAAACAGCACACCTGTATCTAAAATTTCTATGTAAATTAAGTTCCTGTAAATAGAAACATGTAAAATGGAGCAGAGAAACCAATAATAATAATAATAAACCAAAGCAAAACTGCATTATTAGGGGAAGGCTCATTTCCTAATGTATCTGCTTTTAGCATTTCAAACAGTATGTACAGTGAAGTCACACTGAATGAAACCCTGTCAATATATTGTCTGTGTGTGGCAGGAATTTAGGGGTACACACCTGAGCAATGACCTGCAGAAACTGGCAAATGCTCAGAGCCCCTATTCTCTTCTGCCTTGTCTAAAGTGCCCATTGAGCAACTTTGCTTATCTGGGCCTCTCTGAGAACTGTGTCTCAACTGCTACTGAGCAGGAAATAGAATTGAACAGGTCATTGTAAAGACTGGCTGACCTTTCACCAGAACTATAGAATGAAGCTACTTGGTTTATCAAAAACTAAGCCCACCCTTCCCTAGGGTAGTCCTCTAGTGAGATGTATCTCTTGCCTGGCTGCACAAATCTGGATCCTGTCTCAAGTGTTCTATTGTCACTATTCAAAACCCTCTTCCAGATGTTCTTTCATCTGTATGGAATACAGGCATCGTCCCTGCTAAAGGAAGGTCTCTTTGCCATGTCACCAGCGTTAAGTATAAGTCCTGAGACAAAGTGTTCCTTCCCGCACTGGGAACCACAGACAGGAATGACGGCAGCAGGAAGGACTGAGCATTACAGAGCAGGGAGGGCGTTCAGGGAATGTGCTATACAGTTCGAGTGGGTGGGGCTTCCCCACACTGCAGTTTAATGTGGCTGCAAACCTCTTCCATTAGGACTGCTGTTTTATACAACATGGGCTCCACCGATGATGGCTCCTTTCAGAAAGCGCAGGGCAGATAATTCTACAGGTAAAAACCTGGGTTGAGAGAAGGTAAGCCACTCCCCCAAGTTCAGAGCCTATGAGGGGATGCATGCCCCTCCCTGTCCCACCTGAGGCCCAGAGCCCCCCTGTTTGAGAATGGCCAAATACAGGAGAATGTAGGGTTCCTCGGGCTCAGAAATGGAAGACTTGCAGAATCTTGCCTGGATTAAGTAGAGGAGTCTCTATAGCATTGAGTGCACTTTTTTGAGAATAGTTACATACAGATAATTGGTAAACTAATTAGAAATCACTGTAATCTATTAATCAAAATAGGATCCCCCACTAGAAAACACTACAGATATTTGAAAATTTGTAAGCTGGGATTTTAAAAACTTGTATCAGATTTTACCCTTAATTTCAACCAGGCTTCTTACACACGGAGGCAAGCACTCCACGCTGGGGGAGAGATGTTTGAATGGAAAGATTTCTGCCTGGAGAGTGATGCCCTGCTCTGAGCAGGGACTAAGAAGCATGAGGAATGGCCTGGGGTCAACAAGACTGGGGTCCAGTTCTGATTTTACTGAGCCCTGGGTAGCCGTTTAATTTCTCTGTGTCTGGGCCCATGATCAAGGGGTCACTATGAGAGTAAAACGAAATGGTAGGCATGCTCTGCGAACACAGGTGTCAGTGCCACGGCCACCTTCGCTGTCCTTGCTCTGGTAGCTGCCTTCTTCCCAAATGACTGCCAGTATGTGATCCTTTCTCCTGTGTCATGCCACCACAGCCACCACCCTTACTAAGGAAGTGACACCTTTGCCAAACCGAGGCAGCAGGCATGGACTGACATGCTGTAATCCTGTTGGAGGTTATCAAGAAGATGAGACCACCACCTGCAGACCTGAGAGCTGGACCGGGCAACTGGAGGCTCCCCACCTCCCTCCCAGTCCCTGGAATGTGCATTCCATTTGTCCTTCCCACTCCCAGAAGCTACTGCAAGGATACAGCCCTGGGACAGAAATGTGGCATTGAGACTATCTGGATGGTGTATGTGACTGACCCCAGTTAGGGCCTCTACATAAGCTTTTAAGATTCTGGCAGTGGGTGTGAAATCTTCCAGTTTTACAGCTGCCCAAGGTAAGGCTCATCAGTTCCTTTGCTCGTTTAAACTGTCTCCTACCCATCTGGAGTTGGTGCCTCTTTCTTCAGTCTCTCCCTGCCTCTGAGTAAGGGGCTGTTGTCAGATTCCACCTGGGACGCTCCAAAGGAAGCTGTGAAGCAAAAACCACTCTGTCCTGTCACAACCCACTAAGAGAAGACTCATGACAAACTAGGGGACATGTGCAAACACACCTGGTAAATCATCTTCATCTTCACTGAACACATTTGGGTTGAAGACAGGTAAATTCACATAGTCCATGGAAATCTTCCGAACCTCTGGGAGATAGATGGTCATTTGCCGCGGCTGGAGATGCAGGAGGCTGGTTTTATAGATTACTGGTGGGAGGAGGAAAGACAGTCAGTAGAGACACAAGGACGACAGTCAAGGTGCCACAGTGTCACAGCAAAAGAAGTGTGTGTGTGTGTGGGGGGGGGGGGGGGTATCCTGCCATCAGAAGACAGTCTGCACAGGCAGGGTCCAGTCTGAGAGCGGCTCTCCATCTCTCCCTTGGCATGACTGCCACCCAGTCACATTCTGGGTTCAGGGACACTAAATACTCAGTCTAGCCCCACCATTTTGCCAAATGTTTATCTGTAGAACCACACATTTAGAATGTTAAAAATCTATCTCAGATTTAAGTTCTTTTTTGGAATGAGTTGGAGTATGATAGATATATATTTTTTAAAGCCTTGTTTGTAATCAGAAGGATAATTTAGTGAAACCAGTTGTGATAACCAGACTGTCAAACTCAGGACAATCTCAGGCAATGATGGAGCTGTCTGAGAGCAACTACGAGACAGGGGTGATGTGCATCAGGCAGAAATAAAATTCTTCCTTTATTCAGGACTAGATTCTTGTCTTAATGACTTTCAATTTCAATTTTGTGATCAGTCTAGAGATTTATCAGGAACTTCCACATGGTGTCTTTAAACATTAAGATGAGTCTGATTAACAGGGATATTTAAGAGAAAGCCTAGATTGCCAATTAAAATAGTTAAAGGAGACAAAATAAATTAAAAAATAATGAATCTGGCCCTGGCCAGGTGGCTCAGTTGGTAGGAACATCATCCTAATATGCCAAGTTTGTGGGTTCAATCCCGAGTCAGGGCACATACCAGAGTCAACCAATGAATGCATGGATGGGTGAAGCAACAAATCGATGCTTCTCTCCCTTCTGCTTTCTCTCTAAAATCAACAAATTAAAAAGAATAATGAATCTGAATTTAAATTTCACAGTAGGTTAAGGTCAGGGTGAAACTGCCTATCAACTTTCTTTTATGTTTAATACTCTTTCCTGTGAGCTATGTAGTTCTTTTACTACTATTGTTAATTTATTTGTTTTGTTAAGATAGCCAAACTCCACTTCAGGGCTCTCCCTCGAATGGCCTGGCGGCTGATGGGCCAGCACTCCCACACACTGCAGGCCTTCTTTCATGAAGGACCTTGTAAGGCTGGTGCTTGGACTGGCGTGGGCTGCGGTGACTTTCAACTCAGTGGTCATTACAGGTTTATTCATGTGTACCTCTCTCTTGCCCCCAGAAGACAGCATGAATTTTGGCTTTAAAATTCTGACGGTTCCAGAGACAGAGTTGAAGATGGTGGGTAGGTAAACGCGGTATCACGTCCTCCCACAACCACATCAAAGTTACAACTAAACTACAGAACAAACATCATTCAAAACCGCCTGAAATCAAGCTGAATGGAAGTCCTACAACTACGGAATTAAAGCAGCAGCCACATCCACACTGGTAGGAGGGCGGTGGCAGCCCGACTGGCTGGTCCCACACCCACGTGTGGCGGATAAAAATCAGGAGGACACCTCGGCTGGGAAGGCCCTTCCTGAGGACTGAGGGGTCCCCGTCCCACACCAGGTGTCCCGCTCAGGGTTCCAGTGCCAGGAAGAGAAACCCCATCACTTCTGGCTGTTAAAACTGAAGTCAGGGAGGCTGAGGCGGCTGGAGCCCCAGGCAGCTCCTTAAAGGGTCCGCGCACGGACTTATCAGACTCGCTCCCTCTAAGCTTGGAGGGGAGGCAGCTCGAGGGGCACCAGAGACACACAGGGAAGAACTGAGCTGTTTGGCACTGGAATGAGGGCTGGAGAGGGGGCTTTCTCCGGGACAAATGTGCTGTCAGAGGCCTTTATTCCTTTGGTGAGCCCTTCCCTGGGGCGGCAGACAGTCACCACATCTGGGACTCAGGCAACCTGGCTCACACTGGTAGCCCCGCCCTGGTGACACCCTGAGGCCCCGCCCCGCCCCACCCAACTTTCAAATCCACCCAAGCTGATGCCACTTGCTTAACCATAGGATTGGCCTGTCTTGGATCCTGCTTCAGGTTTTTCCTAAATTCTTTCAAACGAGCAGCATCTGGTCTCAGCTAGCCCCATACCTCTCATTAAATAATACACTGAAACAAACACAGGGACGCAGCCAAAATGAGGAGACAAAGAAACAGGTCCCAAATGAAAGAACAGAACAAAACCCCAAGAAAAGAACTAAGCGAAATGGAGATAAGCAACCTAACAGATACTGAGTTCAAAATACTGCTTATAAGGATGCTCAATGAACTTAGTGAGAACCTCAGTGAACTTAGGGAGGGTCTCAAGAGCATAAAAAAGGACCAGTTAGAAATCAAGGATACATAGTTAGAATTGAAGGAGGCATTAACTGAAATAAAGAATAATTTACACAGCTTCAATAATAGAGTACGTAAATCCAAGGAGCAAACCATCAATTTGGAATATAAGGAAGCAAAAAATGCTCAATCAGAACAGCAAAAAGAAAAAAGAATCCTAAAAAATGAGGATAGTGTAAGGAGCCTCTGGGACAACTGCAAGCATGCCAACATTCGCATCCTGGGGGTGCCAGAAGGAGAAGAGAGAGAACAACAAATTGAAAACCTGTTTGAAACAATAATGGCAGAAAACTTTCCTAACTTGGTGAAGGAAACAGACATACTTGCTCAGGAAGCACAGAGAGTCCCAAACAAGATGAACCCCAAGAGGCCCACACCAAGACACATTATCATCAAAATGCAAAAGGTTCAAGACAAAGAGAGAATCTTAAAAGCAGCAAGAGAAAGGCAGCTAGTTACCTACAAGGAAGTTCCCATTAGGCTGTCAGCTGATTTCTCAAAAGAAACTTTGCAGGCCAGAAGGGAGTGGCAAGAAATATTCAGAGTGATGAAAAGCAAGAACCTACAACCAAGATTACTCTATCCTGCAAAGCTGTCATTTAGAATCGATGGACATATAAAAACTTTCTCAGACAAGAAAAAGTTAAAGGAGCTCATCACCACCAAACCGTTATTATATGAAATGATGAAGGGTCTTTTTGAAGAAAAAGATAAAATATATGAACAAACAAAATGGCAATGAATACATATCTAACAATGGAATCTATAAACAAAATGAACAAGTAGAACAGAAACATTCTCATAGATACAGAGAACATTTTGTTGGTTGCCAGTTGGGAGGGGGGTTGGGGGAATGGGTGAAAAAGGTGAAGGGATTAAGAAGTACAAATTCATTGCTAGACTGACAAACCTCAAAGGGAAAGGGGTTGGGGGGGGTGGGGTGGGAAGAAATAAACCAAAGAACTTATATGCATAACCAATGGACACAGACAATAGTGTGGGAAAAGGTGGGAGGGGGGCGGGAGTGGGGAGGAGGGGGTCAATGGGGGAAAAATGTGGAACATCTGTAATACATTTTACATCCAACAATAAAGATTAAAAAAACAAAAATTCTGACGGTTCCATATAGCTTAAGAACTAATGTGTGAAAGTGATATTCTTTGTCATCCAGATTAACAAAAAGAAATAAAATAAAAAATCTCGGGGAGAATTTAAAAAATAACATTAGTTGTCTCCAGGGGAAAAAGTAGGTGGCTGAGGGTGAGAATGAGAGAGATTTTACTATGCTAGACTCTTTTACATCTTTTGAATTTATTCCATATTTTTAAAATTAAGAAATGCAATAAATGAAAAAATTACCTGGCCCTGGCCCAATAATTCTAGTTGCAGGAAACAAATTATCCAGTATGTGAATAACACTCATTTTTAAAATCCTCTGGAGCAGCAAGGTAATTTAATAGGGTGCCATATGTCTGTTCAGAATCCAAGACTTAATTTCCTTTCTTTAGTAGAATCAAGTCAAAATTATTTTAGTTTGACAAGTGAATAGTAATAGTCAAAACACTCTTTTTAAAAAGGTCAGTGATTAGGACAGTGGTTAACCTGAGGGAGGTGGTAGGGACAGCTTCTGTCTTGAGCAACACGTGGCACCTGGCAGGTGGCACTGTCAGGGCCTCTCCTTGCAAGGCCTTGCTGACTTATTTGTGGCTACTCAACCCAAGGAGTAAGGGCAGAATGAAAAGACCCAGGAAGTCAATTCTCACCTCCATTCCTTTTGTCAGTGCTTACTGCAGGCAGATGGCTAGTTCTCAGCTCACTGATGTGGGGAAAATCATGCCGTGCACACAGTGACTATTATAATCAACTGCTGAATAACTGAGGATAATAGGCGTGGTGGCCGTCAGAGAGTCTGTAGGTGGTTGAAAACATTCTAAGATTTGTCTGCATTATGTACAGGGATAGTCTATTGTTGTGTCCCAAGTCAGTTTCATGTTTTACTTTTATCCCTTTTTCTTTTAGCTGAGACCCTCAAAATGAAAAATCTAAATGCAACACTGTTGGATAAGATTCTGAAGGGGCAGATATAGCAACGGGTCTCTTCACATCTGATTTGCAAGAATAATGTATTTTAAAAGATCTAAGAGTGTCTGAAAAAACTCCTACAGGCAGAGTCAGAATTTTTAGCTCACACGGAGTACATTCAAGATGGGGCCACCAGCCACAAGTGAACCCTGCGTGGCTAAGCTGGCTTTCCAGAGACATGTGTGCATGTTAAATGATTAGGTGGCCTAGCAAGGTGGAGGACAACACAGCTCCTGGGAACTCGGAGGGATGTGTCCATCCGGACAGGGGTGCATTGAAAAGGGCCTCCTGCCATCCCATACCTTCCTGTCTCTGAGGAAATGTGATAAGAGCACTGCTCATTCCATCCACAAGGAGCACAGATGGGAACACAAACCTGGGTTCTGGCCCAGTTTTGGACTCCCTTGCTTCCATTTCCCTTCCTATCTCAAATTTCCAAGGATAGGATACTTATTTGGTACTTAGAAATGACATCTATAAACATTCGTCACTAAGCTGTGCTCACAGTCAGCCAGCTTGTTATAGTCCAATGCTTTTTTTCCCTTCTTCTTCTTTATTGATTTTAGAAAGAGAGGAAGGGAGAGGGAGAGAGCAATAGAAACATCGATGAAAGAACATCAATTGGCATGCCCCCCACTGGGGATTTGGCCCACAACCTGACCAGATATCAAACCATCAACGTCTTGGTGCATGGGTCGACGCACAACCACTGAGCCACACCAGCCAGGCACTTTTTTTAAAAATATTTTTTTTGTTAATCCTTACCCGAGGATATTTTTCCATTGATTTTTAGATAGAGTGGAAGGGAGGGGAAGAGTGAGAAAGAGAGGGGGAGAGGCACACATCAATTGACTGCCCCCAGAACAGAGACTGAACCTGAAACTCAGGTACGTGCCCTTGATGGGGAATTGAACACACAACCCTTCAGTCTGCGGGCTGACGCTCTAACCGCTGAGCCAAACTGGCCAGAGCCCAATGCTTTTTTTCAGGAGTTTCTTTTAACTCAAGAATTTAAAGACACTAGTACCAAAACCTGCCCACAGTGAAAGGCCAGAAATCAAAATAATGAGAAACCTATCAGAGCTTTGATCAAGATTTTGGCTATTTGTCACTTTTATAAGTTAAGGATGACATTTAAAAAAATGAAAGCACCACTGGGAAAAAAAAATCAAGTGATTATTCGGATTTTTGTGGCATCATAGTGGCTGGAGTCAAAGTTTGGAGGTAAAATGAATGCTAATCTTTTCAAGTAGAACTCATTTTCTACTTTAGGCCACTGAAGGTTGAAATTGTTCCTTTTCAGTCTGAGTTTCAACTGGGATAGCGGGCGAAGAACAGGACGTGGTCTTACCTGCACCAAGATTGGTTGGCAGGAAAGCAGCCAAGCCCACAATCTTAAATTTGGTTCCCCAGATATTAGACGTGACCTGAGCAAGATAGTTGTGCTGTGGGAGAGAAAAAGGGAAGAAACATCACTCTCTATTTCCTATTAGTAAGCATGTTAACACTTATTGCTTAAAAAGCCACAGGTGCTCACTGCCAGAAATATTCATCCCTACTTCACGCCACCACTGTGAAGAGCAGACGCCAACTGCAGCATGGAAGACGCCCATTTCAAATGGGGGCCACCAAACTGTACTTCTCAGATTGGAAGTGAGAGGCAGACATGTCCCAGTGTGTCTGCATGTGCGTCAGTTCAAAAGGCCACTGCAGGGGTTGGGCACATTCATCTCCCCCCTCCTTTCCCACAGTCACTGAACTAGAGAGGGCATCTGGCTCTGAATTCATTTTTATCCTTGATGTTTCTCCTGGAAATATCAGCTGCACTGACGCCATCCTGAAACTACCCAATGACGTTTTCTCAGTCAATGAAGTGCAAAAAATTACAAAGTTATCACTGTGCCCAGCATGGATGTGTGTGCAAAGGCAATCCTGGAGCTGAAGAGAACACAGCTGCCCCGAGAGCCTATGCTCTCATGAAGAAGACAAGACAGATAATGGTTTGCATACAAGGAAGCCACTGGAAATGTTATAAGGGAGCTCTAAGACAGAGGCTGCGGAGTTCCTGTGGCTGAGCCGGGAAGAAAGTCTTCCCAGAGGAGGTGAAGTTAAGTCTGGAAGTGGGTAGGCTTCCAGTGATCCAGGGAGAGCAGAGGCAGGTGTGGCTGTGTCTCCTGGGGGTGAGAGAAAGGCATCTGAGGTTGCAGGATGTTCTGTGGGTATGGAGCGATGTAGGGCCTGCCTGAACAAATGGCTCTGGTTATCTGCACTGGCAGCTGGAGCCACAGGGACAGGCACGGAGATGGGGACGGGAACCGAGGGTCTCACCATCACCTGGCACGCACTGGGGAGGGGAAAGGGCTGTGCGCATCCCTGAACCCAGACACGACCTGCGTGATGTCTTCAAAGGGAAACTCTCTCCGTGTCAGGCTGGGTGAGCCAATGGAGGGCTTGCGCATCGGCAACCGAGGGGACCTGGACATCTCCTGAGCAGCCCGGGACAGCTTGGGAGACTTCCGAGCCTCGATGTTGATCCTGTGGAGACAAGGCAACAGGGTCAGACACCAACAGCAGGGAAGGCATGTACCACCCTGTCACAGTGGTACCCCCACTCCTGGCATGCCCCTTCACCTTCCAGCAGTCACCCGTGGGTGTCACATTCTTAGGAGCCAGGCCCCTTGATTTAAGCAAGTCTCTCCTGCCTATTTTTGCTTTATGAACAGGAGAAAAGGACAGAATTATATATTGAATAATGCATATATATATATATATATTTTTAATCCTCACCCGAGGACATTTTTCCATTTTTTGTTCAGATAGAGTGGGAGGGAGAGAGGGGAAGAGAGAGAGAGAGAGAGAGAGAGAGAGAGAGAGAGAGAGAAACATCGACGTGAAAGGGACACATCGAGTGCCTGCCTCCCACACAACCCAACCAGGGCCGGGGACAAACCGCAACCAAAGTACATGCCCTTAGTGGGAACCAATCCCGTGTCTCTCTGGACCACAGGCCGACGCTCTAACCACTGAGCGAAACCGGCCAGGGCAATAATGCATATTTTTAAATATAGTGAGATTAGATCAAACCATTCATTTATAAGGAACCTCAGAGAATTAACTCTCTCACTTTCTATTGACTCACAGTGAATTTAGAAATGCCCATGTCTTCTGCCAGGGTTTCACAGTATCAGTCCCGGGGACAATGGCTGGTGGGAAGTCATTTCTCACCTCATGGCCACACTTTTTTTTTTTTTTTTTTTATCCTTACCCGAGGACATTTTTCCCTTTTTTGTTCAGATAGAGCGGGAGAGAGGGAGAGAGAGAAAGAAACATCGACGTGAAGGGACACATCGAGTGGCTGCCACCTGCACGACCAACCAGGGCCGGGGACAAACTGCAACCGAGGCACGTGCCCCCAGCGGGAACCGAACCCGGGTGTCTCTGTACCGCAGGCCGACGCTCCAACCGCTGAGCCAAACCGGCCAGGGCCTCATGGCCACACTTATTGTACAATTCCTAGTACAGCATTTGGATTTCAACAGACTTACCCTAGCATGTCATGCCTGCAATATTTACATCGAATCAGTGGAATGAAAGTGTTTCTGCTGCTTTTGATTCTATATTCTCTCTGTGGTCCTCCGTTCTTTGTGACATGGGGACTACGTATTTAATGCCAGTCTAACCCAAAGAGAGTGTTATAAAAATGAATATGGCAGTCTAGGAAAGAAAAGCATTATACCTCACATTTACTTTTTTTTTTTTAATCTTCACCCGAAGATAATTTTCCATTTATCTTCAGATAGAGAAAGAAGGGAGGAACGGAGGAAGAGAGAGAGAGAGAAACATCTATGTGAGAGAAACACATGGATTGGCTGCCTCCCACATGACCCCAACTGGGGCAGGGACAAACTGAAGCTGAGGTACGTGCCCCTGGCAGGAACTAAACCCAGGACTCTTTGGTCTGCGGGCCAATGCTCTAACCTCGGAGCCAAGCCGGCCAGGGCTCACATATACTAATTGAGCCTGATAAGATACCTTGCACTCCCACAGAATGGGTGGGGTGGGGTGGGGACTGAGCTGATTAAAGCCCAGGGTGAGGAGATTAGCCTGCCTGCTGGGTGTAGGGGATGCAACACAGGGAAAGAGGAAAGGAAGGAGGACTAACTATGGGGATGGCAACATCCAGAAACCTTAAAGGGGCATTCACAGGTGAAGGATTTAGTTACTTACGTGTTAAATGTCCTTTCTGCTTAAGTTACAGGAAAATACAAAACACTATAGAAGTATAGGAAAGTTCATAATTTTATTTGCAATTTTAACAAGTTTAGAAGATGAAAAAAAAAATCAACCAGATTGCTGAAGCAAGTGGATATCTATATGTGAAAAAATGACACATATAGATTTAGAGTTACCTCTAACTCACACTATACATGAAAATTAACCTGAGTTTTAAGTGTGAAAGCTAAAACTACAAAGCTTCTGGAAGAGAACAGAGAATGTCCCATGACCTCACAGTAGACATAGATCTCCTAAACAGGGCACTAACCATAATAGAAGAAATTCATATATGTAATTAGACTACACAGCCGTGCACATGTCTGACAAAAGAACCATAGCTAGATACATAATCTTATGATTCAAGAGAGCAAAGCATCTCAATAAAAAAGGGCCAAAGACTTTAACAGACATTTCACAAAAAAAGATACCCAAATGGTCAATAAACATATAAAGAGTGTAGCATCATCAATCACTGGAGATAACTGGGATTAAACTACAATGAGACACCACTGCTCATCCCCCAGAATGGGTAAAATTTCTTTGAAAAGACAGCACACTTGTAGGTGAGAAGGAAAAAGCCGGCACTCACACCTGCTGCTGGATCACACAATGGTGCAGGCACCTCGGAATACTGCTTGGCAGTTTCCAGTCAAGTTAAACACATATCTAACCCATGGTCCTGAAACTCCCCTTCGAAGTACATTCCCGAGGTGAACACATGCATGCATGAGTCCACAAAAAGATGTGGATAACGGTTTCATTCATCAGAGACCCAAACTGTAAACCACCAAATACCTGTGAATTGGTAAATGGAGTAAACAAACTGTGGTATATTCACTACAGTGGAATTCCAAAGCACAATAAAAGAAAAACTACTGATAGACACCAACAACATGAGTGAATCTCAAAATCATTATACTGAGCAAAAAAGCCAAATAAAAGAGTACCTACTGTTTGGCTCGAGTTATGTGAAGGTCAAGAAGCAGCAAAACTAATCCATGGTGACAGAAGTTAGAACAGTGATTATTCTAGAGTGAGGACTGGATGGGAGGTGGCACAGGGAACTTCCCAGGATAATGGAATGTTCTTTAACTTCGACAGGGTGATGAATACACTGCCTTAACAAGCTGCACGATGAACTGTGTGTTTAAGATCTGGGCAGGTATGTATCTGAATGTAAACTGTACTTTATTCTTGTACAGCATCACAGAATTTTAGAACTAGAAAGGATCTATCTTAGTGAAGATCTGGTCTACCCATGAACTTCTACAGATAAGAATGTTGGTATCCATGTTAGAATTTGTACATTTATACAGCCAATGGGTTGCAAAGCCAGGATGAGAAAGGTGATGCTGCTTAACTGCGACACCACAGGCCTTTCCATCTATTCTTTTAGCTCTTTGTCATTTTTGTTTTTAATCCTTACCCGAGGACGTTTTTGCAATTATCTTCAGATAGAGCAGGGGGTGGGAGGAGGACATCGATGTGAGAGAGACACATCCTGGCTGCCACCCACACGACCCCAACTGGGGTGGGGACAAACTGCAACCAAAGTATGTGCCCTTAGCAGGAACTGAACCTGGGTCTCTATGGTCCATGGGCCTACGCTCTAACTGCTGAGGCAAACCGGTCAGGGCAGCTCTTTGCCATTTTTAAAACAAACCTTTAGGGTCTAAAGTTTTTTTGGTTTACTATTTTTTCCCCCAAGTACAGCACTGTAGGCATTGAATGTGGCATTCTTTCAACACATTATCTATACTGTATACCCTTTTTCTAACCTTTTTCAAACTAGAAGAAAAAAACAAGTAGGCCAGGGCGCTCTGGCCACCCCATGCCACCCATCATCCCCGAGAAGCTCTGGGGTTTAGCAAACTTCCCACTGGGTTTCTTTTTCTGTCCTGAAGAAAGAAGAAAAAAAAGCTGTAACCACTGCAGGCCGACCTTCCCGGGGAACGGAGGGTATGCCGGTCTCGCTGTGCTCGCTTCTTGCTGCTTCAATAGGGTTCTGCTGCAGGCACAACACAAGGGACACCTCCAGGGACACAGAAAGGGGCAGACAACCTGAACAGCAAGGTTACCTTGGGAGTTTGGGTGATTTGCTCGCTTGGGAGATTTTGGGAGATTTCTTGGCAGCCCAGTCATCACTCAGTTCGATGTCACTGGAGTCCGAGCAGTTGCAGCTGTCAATCACGGTAGAGATCAAGCTGTTCCCATAGATTTCGTCTGGTAAGACACCAACCAGCAGGTTTAAGGGAAGTGATATTAGACCGTAACAATGAGCATTACTAGAAACTAAAGGACATCTATTGGCCATCGTTTTAAGTCTAGAGGGTGAAATAGAAAGAAGCAGAGCACTGTTTTCCTTTTACATTTTCTAAGCAAAAGCGGTCAATCACTTCTACATTTATCAATGGGCAAGGTATTTTAACGCCCTGGAATGTACAAAATCATCTGGCACTTTACTGTGCCAACAGCTGAAACCAAAATGGCTTTAATGTTGTCCTCCTTACATACCAGGTGTCACAGGCATGTGGGCTGGCCAGACCCAAGAGACTAGCTGACCCACTGACACCCCCAAGAACCTGCTTCTGACCTGGGACCTGGGAAGGCCGTTGTTGGTTCTGGGCCTGCTTTAAACAGGAGACCTGAGACACACTCACGCCTGGCTTGTAGAACAGTCTGCTGGAATTGCCCCAAGGTGCCTTGGGGGCTTGGCTATCCGACTGACGGAGCTACTTGCAACGGCTTAAGGGAAGACCTGTGCAGTAGGACTTTTAGGGTAACTTTGGGTTCCACTGCGGGTGCTTATACAGAAGCTACTAAAGATAACTGCAAATTGACCATTAGGCAGAAGATGAGAGTCCCCAAGGCAGAAGGTGATATACACAGAGATGGAGCCATCATAAAACTATGAAGTAGGTGAAGTTCATGTCTGACATCCTTCTCAAAATCCCTTCTCCTTTGCTGCCTTCCTCTTCAACACCCCTACCCCCACATTCCTTCACTACCCAAATCCATGCTCTGCTCACCCCAGGTCTGCCCTCAATGAAGTACCCCATTCTTCAAAAATCACTCTGTTTTGCTGATGAAAGCTTCATTCCCTCAAGGCTCTAAGAACCTTACCAGGTAATAAAAAAGCCAAATCATTCAATCACAGTGAAATAACTAATAGGAGAATGATTTTATCATTCGAAAGGACTATTTATATTTGAAAGGATGAGTTTGTTAATCCAATCCAATCTCTAAATTTCTGAACATATGGAGGTGACATCTGTGAACAGAGGCCTCTCTGAGGCCACCGGAGGCAGAGCATAACAGCTTGGCATGCAATGTGGACTGGCTGATGCCCGGTCTGTGTTACCACTTCAGTCCTTCTTAGACATTTACTGAAGCAGAAGGCACGACTCGTAAGTCCAGCAAGCTATAGTGGAGTGAATGCCTTTGAGGTCCATCAGATAAAAAGACTTAATTCACATGCCCTGAGCAGTGCTTTACATTATTAACTTAGAATCACTGGATCAGAGGAAGCTTGGCTACAGTTCAAACATACATTTAAGACCACAGAATGCTTCCACGCGTCCGTAAGCACAGAACTAGTTCACCGACGTGAGGACATTCAATAAGGCATCATCCACTCCACCCCCAAACTTCTTGCTAATGCCAGGATTTTGCAAATGCCGTATGCCATACCATTGCTTTTGTCCATTACTCATGTCATAGTTCATTCAGGTAGCTTATAAACAATAGAACTTATTTCACACAGTTTTGGAGGCTGGAAGTATGAGGTCAGGGTGCTGGCATGGTTAGGTTCTGGTCATTCCCTCTTTAGGTTACAGACTGCTGACTTCTTGCTGTGTCCTCACATGGCAAAGAGGTGGGGACCTTTCTGGAGCCTCTTTTATAAGGCACTGACTGACCTTGTGATTATAAAGGCTCCACCTCCTAATATGGTCACATTTGGTGTTGGGATTTCAACATATGAATTTGAGTGGCAGAGGACTCAAGCATTCACCATTCATTTCTGGTCTGTCTCCTCCACGAGTGTGCAAGCTCCACAAGGGAAGCAGTTGCCTGTCTTGTCCCCTGCTGTAACCACACAGATAAAAACAACCCCAGGGACTCAATAAATACTTCCTAACAGAGAGATGAGATCTTGACTCTGCTGCCTGGCTGTGTCCCACAACTGCAGCAGAGTCCTGGGGAACAGAGTGACTATTAAAGCTCCTAGGGGGTTCCCATGAGCAGACAAGGCTGAGAACCACTCATCTAAGAACATAGCGGGGACCTCCCCACAGAACGGATTTAAAGGGGGTGCATGAGGAAAAGATCACTGCTCTCTGAGCACACGCCCTGAGCCCTGTTGCCTGCCACCTATCATCAGCACAACCAGAAATTCAGTGCTGCATATCAGATCCACAAGCTGGGAGGCCAGCGCGGGTGGCCAGATGTACCTCTTAGTTCTACAGATGTGGTGTCACCAATTTATCATGGAAATTCTGGAACAAACATCCAAGTTGTAGAAAAATGTAAGCTGGGGTTGTTCGTTGAGAACTGAAGTTTGAACTAAACTGAGACATCACATTATAATTTTGTCAGTTTTCAAGAATATACTTATCTAATCTGGGTTGAATTGAAGGCTTTTCAAAATATGCATCTTGAATCAGATATATAAGAATTTTTAAAAACCTTTAAACGCAATGTTAACAACTTGTAAATATGTAAAGCTCTTAGTGTGCTCAGGCTGCTATAACAGAGTGAGTGGCTTAAACAACAGAAATGTATTCCTCCTAGTTTGGGAGGCTGGAAGCCCGCGAACCAGGTGTCGGCATGGTCAGGTCCTGGTAAGGGCTCTCTTCCTGGCTGGCAGGTGGCAGCCTTTACACAGTTCTCACATGGTCTTTCCTCAGTGTATGTGTGGGAAGAGAGATTTCGCCTCCTTTTCTTATAAGGCCACCAATCCTATCGGATGGGGATCCCATGCTTACAGCTTTATTAACCTTAATTACCCCTAAAAGCCCTGTCTCCAAATATAGTGACACTGGGGGTTAGGGTTTCAACATGTGAATTCTGGGGGACATAATTCAGTCCATAGCAAGCTCTGACAAAAGGTTCCTTTGGAAAATTTGTGGATTTTTGGGGAAAAAAAAAAAAAGGATTGGGAGTCTTGCTATCTATTATAAAAATACACACGGGTAATTTTGAGGAACATTATTTGTTAAGTTACTTGGAGGACACTGACAACAGTGGACTTTAAACATTGCAGCGTAAGTCGCCAGGGCAGCCATTAGGCTGCAGATTTCTAGGCCACACTCCTCCCCCACTGAATGGGTATGAGGGGCAGGCTTAGAGCCTCGAAGGTGACCTGCAGGGAGGTGGGGAAACAATGATGTGGAGGCTTGACTTAGTCAATTTCTCATGAGAAATTCCTGGCTTCCCAGAGTCAAGCATCTTCTCCTCCTCTGAACTAGTTTCCGTAAACCATTCAGTTGGCAATTAGTCATATTCTGCCTTGTGACATGTTTTCTATTTTTGTCTTTGAGATATTTAAGTCTTGACTTTTTTTTATTGAACTTTTCTAGTGTTAGGTTGTCTTATCACTCAAAAGGGATTATAAACTGCTTGATAATAGAGACAGCTGAAGTTTCTTTGCGACCACAGGAGACTCAAGGATTGTGCACAAAGTAGGCACTGAATATGTGTTATTGACTTGCTTTGCTTTACAACATCTTCATTACAAAAATAAAACATCTCTTCCCCCAAAGGACTGTTAGCAATCGAGTCAGGGTGTGTTTGGCGTGGGCTGCTAAGTGAACACGGAGGAAGGGAGGTGCTGGGGCTCAGCCCGGCAGCACACCCATCTGCTCCTGCCCCATCCTTTAGCGGGAACATATGCACCGGGGACAGAAGCAAGCTCTTCATGTCAGTTCCCATCAGCACACAGTGTGAGTGTAGGTTTTGCATCACTGCATACACAGGAGGGACCTCAGTGACAATGACACTGGATGAGAAGGCATGATGCGCACTCAGATTCAGTGCGTTTCATGCTTCCCTCCCCTCCTTTGGTTACCTCTAATCATCAGTGGCTCCCTTCTTCCTCGGTCCCTTAAAACCATATTTTCCTTCTAAGTTCACATCTAGTACCCTCCTGGTTTTCTCGCTTTGCTTCCTTCCTTCTGAATCTTTCTTTCTTTCCTTTCCATCTGCCTCCCCACCGGGCCCCATTTCTCCTACTCACTCTCTTTTTCTTGATACTAGTTCATCACGAGTCAAAAAAATCCAGTTGAATACTGGAGTGGGCCAGTGAGGCCAAGGTTGAAAAAGCCATTGCACTCTGCCACTCGGATAACCCTGGTCATACCACCCATCACAGTGGCTTCAGGGACTTAACGAGGGGCACAGGCCAGTCTACTGAGGGGGAGAAAGAATGGGAGTTGAGATGTAGAAAGAGCAAGTATGAAACTAATGAGAACAGACCTAATATAACTCATGTTGTTTTAAGGTCAGGTGCTTGCCAGCCACTGGAGGTACAGAGATGACTCAGTTTCCTCCCCCAGGCCCTCAGAATTCGGGGGCAGACAATGCCCGTGTGCCTCTCAGGATCCCAGCAGCCCAACTGACAGGTGACAGGCATAGAGTCCAGTGCCACTCTGTCTGCTGTCAGTGCTGGGCAAAATTTCACAGAGGGAAGCAGAACGTTTGAGCTGACAGGGGCACTCAGGCCTCCATAGTCACTGGCTGAGGACACTGGACAAGCAGAGTCAGCACTAACAAAAGAACAGTCCTCCCCTCTAGAGGCTCACAAAGCAGAATTGTAGTGATAGCTGTGCAGGGAGCACCCTGAGTCCATCCACTGAGTAATGAAGCTCAGTAGAGGAGAGGGTTCTAGAAGGAAGCGGTGTTGATCATGCAAGCTCTTTATGAATGAGCAAGGAACTTTCCTTGGTAATCAGCTCAAAAGCAGTTCACAGTAGATCAGTGAGGGACAGAAGCAACACTGTAGCAGGAGGTGATGAGCAGGCTGAAGTTTGAGAATTTTAATTCTATCATTCACTGCCGGGGTGGGGGGTGGCAGAGACAGACCTCAGGTTGTCTCAACAGCACATTCGGGCCCTCGATGAACACTGCCCACTGGAAGAGGAACTTCCCACTCCAGAGCCCTGTGCCAGCTTCCCCTTCACTGACAGCCCCACCATGTGAAGCCTCATGGAATGCTGTTAAAAGCCCCATCAAAAAAGTATCTGTAGAGAATCATTAACTTCAACAGGAATTTGGAAATGGAGTAGCTCCAAGGATGTTCCCACACAGGCTCACATTCCAAAAATGGGCATTCTCTTTGCATGGGCTGTCGGTCATCGGTCTCGCTGGTTAGGGGCCCACCTGATTTGCCATCTGTCCGGGGGTCCATGATGACAAACTCCGGCCGCAGCTTGCTGATGCGCCGCCCCTTGAGGATGGGCACGAGCCCGCCCAGGTACTCCAGGTAGAGCGTGTAGCACGGGCCACCCACTTCTGGGTCATCTTCCGTGCGCTTCATGGTGCAGTGCAGACGCTCGTTGCCGGCTGAGGGGTAGCTGACAAAGTCTCGCATGTTGTTAGGGTCTGGAATTGGGGGCTGAAGGCAAGACATAGGAAAAAAATGAGAATGTGTGGGTTTCTCTGACAGAGCCCTGCCGGTGGCCTGATCAGGGTTAGCTATGCGGCATGGAATGGTGATTAGTAGCTCTGGGTGGGTGTCAGAATCTCCTGGGAGCTTTTAAAAAACACCTGAGCCAGAATCCCATCTCAGACAATGAAACTGCAATCTCTGGGGGGTGAGCCTGGGCATGTGTATCTTCTAAAAACTCTCCAGGTAATTCTAATGTGCAGCCGGGTTGAGAATTAACTGGTACAGAAGCAAGACTGTAAAGAACTTAAGAGAAAAAAAAAAAATCACAAAAGATTCTAAAACGATGTTTCAGGAAAAAAGTAACTAACAAGTCTATCTAATACTTAGAAGCCAAGACAGAATATAAAAAAGATAGAAAAGAACCTAAGGTTGGGGAGCAACCCACTCCTGAACAGCACCTGGCAGACACATGCCACACACTAGCACTGGAAACAGCAGTTTTCTGGTTATGATTGGTATAGACAGTTGACAGAGAGGGCTGGGTAGGGGTTGCTCCTGCTCAGCACAGTGGTGAGGATGGAAGCCCCTAAAATTGGACTGACCACTTCATAAGTAGCTATGGAGAAAGTTTACCCAACTTTTCGGATTGTGTTTTCTGCTTTCTCAAGTGGGAATGACGGTAACATCTGCCAGGAAGTCAGGATTGAATAATACAGACTGATCATCAGGATGACAGAGCAATCCAGCTCAGAGTACTGCCTTTGCCATGAGAAAGCTGATGCCCATTTCACAGGCCTATCTCTCATGGACACATTAAAGAGGATGCACGTGCAGAAGAACATGGCGGAACTCTGTGGAGCCGCACAAGTTTCCCACCCAGACACTCTTGCCAAGGGCAGACTTGCCTTCTGCGCTCCTGCTCTGGGATTCTCAGCCATCTTCCCTGTCTCTGCCCTCCTCTCTGCAGGGTGTGGAGGAGGAGGAGGAAGACGAGAAAGAGAAGGATGAAAAGGAAGAGGAGGAGGTGGAGGAGGAGGGAAGATGGAGGGCTCTACCTTGATGGTGGGAATGAAGGCAGTGGAGAGGTAGGAGCAGAGGCGGGGGGGCAGGGTCAGCTTGCTGACATCCTTATCTTCTCGAAGGGCGCTGGCGATGGCCTGCTGGCACAGCAGCTGCAGGCTGGACACCCGGTGCTCCACACGTACCACGTACAGGGCTGGTCCTGACGCCATCAGCAGCCTGGAGTCCCGGTGGCCCCAGCAGATGGAGATGATGGGGCGCTGCCAAGAAGTTAAAGGCAACCACACATAAGTTTTCATTCTTGTAAGCAAAGAAAGATCATGCATGTTTGTCTCAATCAATATAAAGTGATTTACTAGTATTTGAGACTATTTGTTTAAAAAAGGACAACAGAGAATGCTAAATACTGTATTATGAAAATTCAGTACTTTCATTGAAAAGTAGTCCAGAGTACAGAGTACAGAGTTTGACAAAGTTCTTTTACATGTATTTTCTCATTTACTTTAGTACCATCAAACCTAATGTTAGTGACGTTTCTACCAGATAATGCAATCAGCTTGGGGTACAGTAATGCAAATTCCTTACTAAAGTGCTCTTTATCTGGATCCCCAAATGACCAGTGGTGGTTCCCATGGCTTGGGCAGGTGGTGAGGAGGTGGAGCAGATGGCACTTTCCTTTTGTCCCTATAGGGAGCATTTTAGAGTCAAATCAACACTGGATTTGGGGCAGGAGCTGTGTGACCTGGGGGCTATTACATAACCCTTGCAAGTCTACTTTCTCATGAGTCAGAGGGAGCAGTGAGTATTAAAGGAGATGAAAGATGTCAAAGTGCTCCTGGGACCTTTCATAGCTCATAACCACACATGACCTCAAGGTGATGTTATTCTCAGCCATCCTCAAGGTGATGGGGCCGAGAGAAAGTCGAGAGCTAGCTGGAACAGGGCGAGAGAGGGGCACGCAGTTCCTGTGGTGGCCTCTCGAGTGGTTTGTGGCCATCACTTGCTTTGAAAGGCAGACTGACATCCAAACGTACAAGTAGAAACTGCTTGTGCTGAAAAAAAACTCAAAGCTCAGGGGTGCCATCTAAGTAAGATTAGCCAAGGAAGAAAGAAGTGAAGGGCTGTGATGGAGAGCAGCGAGAGAATTTGTTCACTCAGATGCAGGCAGATGGAGTTCTAATTTAATGAGGTCTTGAGGGGTTTCAAAGATGAGAAGTGGGGATACCAGATCTTTTAAATGAATGACAGATAGGGACAGAATTTTCACAACACTTTAGTAACAAACATCAAGATAAAAGGAACACATGAAGACACTTGCTTAAAATAGCCCCCAGTGTCAGCTAATCCTGGTTTCAACTTAAAAACAAACTGCCAGACTGAAGATAATTCCATGTCCATCATAGAGAGGACAGCAGCAGCCCCTGGAGAAGGACCATGGAGCTTGGAACTCAAGTCTGGGACTTTCAGAAACTTCTAAGATGAGCATCTTTACAAGAGGATCCCCCATAAAGTGAGACCCCATAGAAGGGCTGTTAATTCAGAGCAAGGCTACTCACTGATGAAGACAGTGCAGACGACACATAAAAAATACACAAACAGCCCAGCCGGTGTGGCTCAGTGGTTGAGTGTCGACCCATGCACCAAGAGGTCACTGGTTCGATTTCTGGTCAGGGCACATGCCCAGTTTGTGGGCCAGATCCCCAGTGCGGGGCATGCAGGAGGGGGCCAATTGATGTTCTCTCTCATCGATGTTTCTATCTCTCTCTCTAAAAATTAATTTAAAAAAATACACTAATAATTTTCTTTGGTTCCATCAATCCCCATAAGTGCAGGTCAGGACAGAGGTTCTATTAGTACCAAAATCATTATTAATCTTAAATACATACCACAGTCCCCCAACCCCAACCCTAAGCCTCCTAAGATATTTACAACCTAGAGCTCAAGTAATGAAGAACAGCTTTCAATGAGCACAACCTGACTGGTTGGAACTGGCTACAGAAATACCCGACTTCCTCCTCCTCCAACTTCCCATTACTTTGGAATCCTTACACCTTCCATGCCATGGTTACAGGGCAAGACTGCATATATTTATCCTCTAGTCCCCTCCCCCTCCTCCTAGTTCTACTTTCCATAGTAAACATCTCTGTGTAGTAGTTGATTATATGTTTTGGGAGGGTCTTATAATAAAATTATCATTATGATAAGTATGTATCACTTATATTTTTGTACAAAGGAACTTAAACCAAGTATACAGACCTTCAAACTGGATAAAAACCCTCAGTTTCTCCTTAATCCTTTTGGTCAAGGCTGATTTACTCAGAAACAAACCAAAACACGTCTGTAGAAAGGCAAATAGAGCAGAGGAGAAACAGGGCTGCATGAAGAGCAAATGGATAAGACAGGAATGAGTCATTGTGGCAGAAAAGAATCCATAGGTCGTGTGGGCCCACCAGAAGAGAGCTTAGCCAAGCAGCACTGTTAGAGGAGCACCCAGCTGGAGGCACATCTCAAAGGTGAGGAGGGCCGTGCTCTCCACACTGGGCATGGCACTGAGAAGCAAAACACAATTCTCCTCAAGGAGGAGGGAAAGGACTTGAGAGGACTGAAAACTAGAACAGTCAGAAAAGAGTTGAAACTCTTTAGCCTGGAGAAGTGAACCCTGCAGGGCCTCAAAGGAAAAACTTTATTTGTGGCACAGTGACCGGGAAGTGCCGTCTCCTAAGAGCTGGACAAGGACGCAGAGTCAAGCAATCTGGGGCACAGCATTCATTTACTTAATTCCAGCGTGGGTGTGTGTTTGTGTGTGTGTTCATCTAATTTAGTTCTCACAGTATATACTCCCTGTACAACAATAAGGTATAAAATAAATACTGGTACCTTTGCCATAATTAAGGTTGTATTAAAAAATAAGGAAGAATTGCCCTGGCTGGTTTGGCTCAACGGTTGGAGCGTCGGCCTGCGGTCCAGAGAGGCCCGGGTTCGGTTCCCGCTAAGGGCACGTACCTCGGTTGCAGTTTGTCCCTGGCCCTGGTTGGTCGTGCGGGTGGCAGCCACTCGATGTGTCCCTTCACATCGATGTTTCTCTCTCTCTCTCTCTCTCTCTCTCTCTCTCTCTCTCTCTCTCTCTTCCTCTCTCTCCCTCCCGCTCTATCTGAACAAAAAATGGAAAAATGTCCTTGGGTGAGGATAAAAAAAAAAAAGGAAGAATTCACAAATAGTGAGAGCTGCCACTCTTGTCTGAAGATTCTGAGGTAACCTGGATGCAGGAAAATTATTGTAATGAGGGTTGAGTCTGAGGCTGGGTGACAGAGCCATGATCTCAGGATCCCTTTAAATCCTGTAGGCCTGTAGAAAGTCCTTTTGTGTGGGATCTAATATATAGCATGGTGATTATAGTTAATAATATCCTGTACCATGTACTTGCAAGTTGCTAAAGGAGTGTATCTTAAATTTTCTCAACACAAAAAAGAAATAGTGAGCCCTGATCGGGTAGCTCAGTTGGTTAGAGCATTGGCCTGATCTGCCAAGGTTGTGGGTTTAGGACCTGGTCAGGGCACATATAAGAATTAACCAATGTGTGGGTGGCAGCCACTCGATGTGTCGCTTTCACGTCGATGTTTCTCTCTCTCTCTCTCCCTCTCACTCTATCTGAACAAAATATCGAAAAATGTCCTCGGGTGAGGACAAAAAAAAAAAAAAAAAAAAAGAATTAACCAATGAGCCCTGGCCGGTTTGGCTCAGCGGTTAGAGCATCGGCCTGCGGTCCAGAGAGACCTGGATTCAGTTTCCGCTAAGGGCACTACCTCGGTTGCAGTTTGTCCCCGGCCCTGGTTGGGTCGTGTGGGTGGCAACCACTCGATGTGTCGCTTTCATGTCGATGTTTCTCTCTCTCTCTCTCCCTCTCACTCTATCTGAACAAAATATCGAAAAATGTCCTCGGGTGAGGATTAAAAAAAAAAAAAAAAAGAATTAACCAATGAATGCATAAATAAGTAGAACAACAAATTGATGTTTCTCTCTCTCTCTACCGCCTCCCCTTTTCTCTCTAATATTAATCAATAAAAACAAAATTTTTTTAAAGAAATGGTGATTATGTGATGGAGGTGTTAGATAACAAAATGGTGGAAATCATGTTGCAATATATAATTGTATCAAATTCACATGTTGTATACCTTAATATACTCAGTGTTAAAAGTCAATCATATCTCAGTAAAGCTGGAGAGAGAGAGATTAAATACACACATGTACACATGCACAGATAAGTCCTTTTATCCCATGTCATCTTACTTTTTTAGTCTCATTCCCTATTAGTACTCATTTTCCTGTGCTGTTTACTGGTACTCCAGACTACAAAGGTCTGTAGTTGTGGAAATAGGAACGAGAATCAAAGTGCCAGTGGCTACCCGTGCTTGCAGACATGGGGTGTTGGGCTCTTACCGGAGCTAAGCCTTGACTTAGCTGCCCCACAATCAGCAACTTCTGCCACCGTCCTCTAGGACCATGGTGTGCCTGCCTGTAACCTCACCCACAGAATGCTCTCCCCTCCCTAGGACTCCCACCTCCTGGGAGCAACTGCTGCAGAACAGAAAAGCACCAAATGTTCAAGTCCAATAAATCTGAAGGCACTCCAGGGGACACACAAATCCAACACCCACAAGTTAATGCTTTTGTTTGAACAGCTGCTGTCTGCTAGGGGAAAACTCAGGTGTAAATCTGTGGACAATCTTTTTCTCAAATCACACAAAATAACCATTTATTTATTTATTTATTTATTTATTTATTTACTTACTTACTTACTTACTTACTTATTTATTTATTTATTTATTTAATCCTCACCCGAGGACACTTTTCCATTTTTTGTTCAGGTAGAATGGGAGGGAGGGAGAGGAACAGAGAGAGAGAGAGAAACATCGATGTGAAAGGAACACATCGAGTGGCTGCCACCCGCACAACCGACCAGGGCCGGGGACAAACTGCAACCGAGGTACGCGCCCTTAGCGGGAACCGAACCCGGGTCTCTCAGGACTGCAGGCCGACGCTCTAACCGCTGAGCCAAACCGGCCAGGGCTTTATTTATTTATTTATTTTATCCTCACCCGAGGACTTTTTTGTGTGTGTATGTGATATTTTGTTCAGATAGAGTGGGAAGGGGAGAGAGCGAGAGAAACATCGACGTGAAAGGAACACATGGAGTGGTTGCCACCATACAACCCAACCAGAGCTGGGGACAAACCGCAACCGAGGTACATGCCCTTAGTGG